ATATAAATTCATTTCGGAAACAGCATTCCGCATCTTTACGCTCGTGGAAGACGCGTCGCGTTCCAAATCCGATAATTACAACAAGCGGTCACTTTCGAGAAGGGGATCGTCTTCGTATAAGGCGCGTAAGGATGAATCCGGCGCGCGCGCTTTGGTTACGAGTACATCCATCAATTACTCACTGTGCAAGAAAGAGAGACACGGGTTATACAGGGTGTTTCAGGGTAAAGTGTCCTAACTTAAAATATGAACTTAGGACCTCAAAACAAGAACAAACTTTCCTCTGGAGACATGTCCGTAAACGCTTTGTTTAAGAGATATTGACATCTAAACATTTTTTCATTATAAAATTTTATGAAATTGTTATCGGGTTATAATAAATAATTGAATAGTGTGCTTCAAATACTTTATTATTAAAAAATGTGGCGGCCTACGGCAGCCACAGGGCGCCGCGCCGTAAGGCACGCGCCTGCACGCCGCGGAGTACGGTAGTTCGCGGCGCTACCGATAGGTGGCGAGGCGCGTGGGCGACGAACCTGCGATCAAGATTTGGTCAACCATAGGATAAAAGCAGGACCCCCGCAGCGAATTTTTAATCAGATTTTCGGCGCTAGTCGCCGAAAAGGGAGCTTCCGAGCGCCAATCGCCCAAGGATCCTACGAGAGCGCAAGACGCCGAACGCAGAAGAGCGCAAGACGCCCAACGCAGAAGAGCGCCAGTCGCCAGCGAAGACCTCCGAGCGCTAGCCGCTCCTACGGCGCCAGTCGCCCACCGGGAAGCGCCAGCCGCTTCACCAGGCGTCAACCGCCTTCCTCCGAGCGCTAGCCGCTCCTACGGCGCCAGTCGCCCACCGGGAAGCGCCAGCCGCTTCACCAGGCGTCAACCGCCTTCCTCCGAGCGCTAGCCGCTCCTACGGCGCCAGTCGCCCACCGGGAAGCGCCAGCCGCTTCACCAGGCGTCAACCGCCTTCCGTCGAGCGCTAGCCGCTCCTACGGACGCCAGCCGCCCTCCGGGAAGCGCCAGCCGCTTCGCCAGAGCGCCAGCCGCTCCTTCCATCGCCAGCCGCTGCACCGGGCGCTAGTCGCCTCCCCCAGGCGCCGGACGCCAGACACCACGGGGTCTCCGAGCAAGACCCCGGCGCCGGACGCCGCAACACCTGCCGACTCCACGGGGACTCCCTCGGACACCACCGACATTCGCAAGGCGGTGAAGTCCAGGAGCCGGGCAAGCAAGGAGAACCGGGAGCCCCGTTCCCACAAGGGAAGCAAATCCCGGAGCAGGGACCACAAGGGAGACCAGCCTCCGCGTCCGCCCCTCGAAGGGGAACTGATCCCCTTGAGAAAACGGACGCAACCGCTGCCTGTACACTCCAAGCCAAGCGTCCTAAGGCGGATGCACCCACGGACCGTCGGCCAGAACCGGACCCCCGACGAGAGCCACAGGACGACCCAGGACACCTAGGGTGTGCCTAGTCACAAGCGACGACTCCGACCACGGGACCACACCTCGCCGGGCGTACCTCGCCGACGCAGAGACGCAAACGGTGCAGAAGACGTTTCGGGACGCGGCAACCCAAACGAAGTTCAGGGGTGGTCGACACCCAAGCTTTTTTTTTTGTTAACCCGGGGGAATCCTCATGGACCGTCCCCTCGCCCCGCTGGGACGGGACGAGGGGGTGTGTGGGACTCACCCTCCCTGTACCTCGGGCAGTTAACGACCCGAGGCCAGCGTGCAATGAAGGGTGCCTACCTCACTAAACCCACCGGGGGTGGTCTTCTCTGCGCCATATTGAGCCGACCGGGGACTGCTTTCGCATGTTCTGCCGGCCGACTTGGCGCCACGCGCTGTTTATTCGCGCGCTCCTCTCGGTCCATTTTTCTTGGACCATGCCCTGAGTGGGCATTCTCCTATCTGCACTGAATGTGCCGCGGCAGGGGTGCCACCGGGCCCCTGCCGCGCCCCCTTGTTGTTGGTGGGGGCTGGTGGACCAGGAGTCCTCAGCTCTTGGCCCACCCCCTGGTGTCCCTCAACTTTCCCAGACTTCCCCTCTTAGGACGCCTCTTACGCCAGGCAGGGGATACCCCGGACCTATTCGTTGGCGGGCCCCGGACGCCGTGTTGAGGGAACACCCCTCTTGGTTGACCTATAGGTCACTTGTCCCCGATTATTCGGGGAGGAAAATCCTCCTCGTCGTTACGCAGTCCCGGGAGAGGGGGGAAGGAAGCAGGCGCGCTGTCCCCGCCCCTAGGGGGCGACGACAGCCGTCCCACGAACCCCGCCCCCCTTACCCAGGACTACCACCTCCTTAAGTGGGCTGGCATTCCTCTTCCTCTCCTTCGTGCTCCAGCCCCGCCCTGGTCATTCTGGGGGTCCGCCTCCCCCCTCCGAATGCGCTCCGCTTCCTCCTTCAGGAGCATAACCCCCTCACAGTACGTCGCAAAGGCATTCCAAGCGTCCTCGCTTTGGACGCTCGCCTCCACGACTGCCTCTATGGAGAGGTCGTCGCCTACGACCTCTCTCAGTCGACTTCGCTGCACAGCCCACGCTGGGCATGTCTCCAGCGTGTGCTGCGCATCGTCGACCTCCTCGTCACAGTGATGGCAACCTGGCGTCACCTCCTTGCCTATGCGTCGCAGGTACCCACCAAAGCATCCATGCCCGGTGAGCACCTGCGACGTCCTGTAGGATGCCCTTGCCCAGGACCTGTCCAGCCACTCCTCCATAACCGGAAGAATGGCTTGAACAGTCCTCCGACCCGGGCAGTTGGGG